CACCTAATGCTTCTATTCAGGTATTACAAAACTGTATTTGCCTTTTGTGCAGCTACATTACACTCAAGAACCATATTGAGTCTGCAGAACTGCAGAACTCTCTCTTCTCTTTCAAATAATCTCAAGTAATATTTGAAAATACATTATATCTATGTCTAATGCCAAACCTCACAGTAAAAAAATGATGAAGTACCATCAACATAGGATTTAAGACATCATAAACATCAGCTGACAACCTGTAATTTACTTCTGCCTACCATTACTTTCTTACCATCTGATCTTTTGCTATTTTACTAACTAGAGAACATTGGTGGCACGGAAAAAAAATATTTTAGGACACCGTCGTATAACCAAATCATGTCAAAATCAGCTCAGTTTGTAATTAAATATATGCCTCCTATGTATAATGAGTAACATTTTGCTAAAAATTACTTCTAGGAGCCTCCCAGCCAACATCATTTTACATCATATATTAATGAACACAGTGCCAAAATGCCTGGGATGTCAGGCATTGGTTTTTAATTGATATTGTATATTTACATGAAGGGTGTCCCATGTCATCTCATACTGCATTTTCATTTCTAGAAACTTTTGCCAAGGCAGAATTTTTCAGCATTTTATTAGAAGGTTAGTTTATGATTGCCAAGAATAGCTAAACATAAAAAATGCTACCATTATTGCTTAATAGGCTGAGCATGTGGGCCTAGTCTCCAACAATACAAATACATCTGGATACTTTTGTTTGTAAAGTAGTAAAGTATGTGCATATAGCCAATACACTCTGCCTGTCCGCATAACTACACAATGTACATCTAGTCAGTTTTGTACTTAATGGCACACATCTTTACATATTTGGATATTGGATGGGTGACTTTGAATACCTGTCCTGTGTATGAAAGTCATTCCCATGCAGAGGATAGATGCAATTTATGTCTATAAGCAGCTTAACTCCTAATGAAGCCCTCAATACTGGGACTAATTTTATTGTGTATGCATGTGTGTTACTCTTTACCCGTATAGACAACTTCAAGGGCCAGAGTGGTATGGGCACCAACATGCATGGTTGACACTCTGGATGTCACAAGTTAGAGGCAGAAGTGCTCATAGTGTGGCCCGATCAGATTCCTATGAATCTGCAAATTCTGCTAAATACCCTGTCACAAGGACACAACAAGGAAGGAAGGACAACTTCAGATGCATTAGGAGAGTTGTCAAAATAAGCAGTCAGCTTGTTTGATTTTTTTTTTAATCACAATCCATTCATTAAAATTTTGCTATCCTGAATGTTTATTTTTAGCAGCAATTACATTGTTTCAATTGGTAATGAATGCAAATAAAATAAGTTATAATACTACAGGACCAAAAAAAAAAAAAGTCCCCCAAACAGCCCACCAATTAGTAAAGCTTTATGTGATTAATAAAAAAGGGTTGTTTTCTCTCTACATGTCTCATTTAAAATGAAATGCTGTAGGGAAGCTTAGTCCTCTCTGTGCAATTCTCTCTCTACAGGGAGTTCCTGTTTGACCTAGCTGTCTTTATATGAAAAATTTATTAAGTATCATGATTTGGTTTGCTTAGAATAAAACGCAGTATCTGCTCACCGTCATTACTGCAGGGAACAGAAGACAATGCCAGTTCAGATCAGCACATTACTTAAAGGGGTTTTTTGGTCCTTCTTTTGACCTCCTATGGATTAAAAACTATTAACTAAACCACACATTAAGAAATCTAAATGAACCTGAATGAAAGTAGGACAATACCAAAAACAGTATCAATATTTAAAAAAAAGGTTTATCCTAGCATTTCTAATTCCAGCTGACATGAACATGGTGTTTCAGCTGCCAAAGCATACAGAAGTTACATTAGAAGATGAATTTAAATGTCTAGCCATGGAATCCAAAAACAATTAATATTTCTAGGAAACACAGTTCGATATTGATAGCCTATTCAGAGGTCTAACATTACCTAAAAATAAACCAAAACATTTACTTAGCATTTGGAAAATATTTTGATCTTGAATTTAAGTTCTTTATTGCCAAACATTCTCTAACCGACTTACAAACAGAAATAAATGTGCTTAGACGGGGACAGACACTGATAAATGATGAATGAATGATGAATTATAGCTTAAGACAGTCTTTGTATTTATTTGTATGATCTGATGATGTGTGATATGATATGATAATTTGTTTCTTCCCTTTCTCCATATGGAGAGAGGAAAATGACTCATTTTGATTCTGTGGTTGAAATTTGGGTTGCAATCAAGTGATACAAAAAGCTGAATTGTGAGCTTCTCTTGCCTACTGCAACACAATGCTGTCAATATTGGCATATAAAAACAATGCTTCTTTCTTTAAAGGAAAATTATGATACAACACATTGAATTCAATAGATGCCATGCCTACTCTAAAAGGTGACATCTATGCAACAAGAACTGCCTACAGAGCTTGAACATCTCATGCCAGGCAACATTTTTAGCAGAACAAGGATCATCCCCTGATTCTTCAAATGTCAGAAAAAGGGCAACTGATTTCTAATGTCATCTTAAAACTGATGATTGAGCTATGCACTTAAGCACAGTTCACTTTGAGTCCCTCAGTAATATTTACCATGATCAGACTAATCTAGCAAATGCTAATCTAGGAAATGCTATTTCTTTAAAATGAAATGTGAGGCCCTATTAAACTCACTGGAAGTTGACATCAGCGGGTCATGATTTCACACCATATTCTTACTACACAATTTTAAAATGCTCTCTAATTCTGGAAATTCTAGTTTTCAGCATACTGGGCTGAAAACTACTGGGCTACTGGGCTAGATTTTTAAAGGTATTTAGGGGTATATTTATACAGCACAAGGCACCATTTTGCAGACCTCGCCAGCTAGCTCTGCATGTACTTTTTCTGGAGCTGAAAGCCATATAGCTGTATTAGGGTGGCGCTGTGCCTGTACTAATTAGTTCTGCTGAGAAGCAGGGCTCCCTATAGCTCAGGTGCAGTGCCATGCCAATGCAAAGTAATTGCACTATAGACTCCAATACTGTGTCATGCAAATATACCAGGTTCCTAACTCCCATTGATTTCAATGGCTATGTAAATGACACTAAAGACTTCCTAGCACATTCTGAAAGGTGGATAGCTTCTATTTCTTGGCCAAACTTCCTTCTATTATGAAAGATACCAGAACAATAGCAGAGAACATAAGGCAGAAATGTGAGTGCCCTGCACTGCCCTGCCGATTTGCATCAACCCTGACTTCAGTGCATCACCTGTGAAAACAAGAAAAGTTCAGTGTTATTGCTTGTTCAGCTCATTTTCTCTGTACTGCCAGCTGTCAAAAAGGGTGTCAGTTAAGGCCGAGAAAATAGTGGTTTTGTGATACAAACACATGCCCACTGGGAAATGAACAGAAATTTCCAGCTCATACAAATAAAGCTAAATAATAGGTAAAGACAGAAAACATGATGGTGACATATTATGGCTAGCTTGTATTCAACATAAGCAAAAAGCTTATGAAATATTTTGCCCTTGAAAGAAAAAAATCTATTCCTCACATCAGTGGGACTAAAGGTGCTGATCTTAATATCTACAAGCCATACTAAGTTAGACAAGCCTGTAAATGAGCAGGTGAGAGAGGTTTGTAGTCTGAATACAGAACTAGAAGCAACAAACTCATCTTCAGCATTCTGAACCCCATTCTGCTTCTGATTCCCTCCATGGCCTTAGGGTATATTCAATACACTTTGTTTAGTATCTTCAACTCTGTAATGGGAACAATAATTACCCAGCAATCTTATTCTAAGACATAGCTACTTAATGCTTATAAAATATTTTAAAATGCTATAATATTTTAAAATTCAGAAAGTTTTAGAGTAGCCAATATATTTCACATATTTCATTTTTTTTGTTTTTCCCCTGAGTCCCACTTACAGATCACCCCTACTGTTTCTATTTACATTCTTCAGCAACCTCTACAAATTCCCTGCAGCCTCCCTAATTTCATAGCAAAGAGCTACATAATACTACTATAAATTTGTTATTTATCAGATTTGTAGTTTGAATGATAGGTCTGTTGAACCACAAATTACATGACTTCTCAATAAATACTTATGTACAAAGAATGAAAACTTTGCATGGTACAAAAGTCAGGAGCACTACTGTATTTGTATATCCCTGGGGATACCTAGAATTTCTCTAGGGTTACTGTAATCTAAAATGACTCCCAGTTTGCTTAGACACTGTAACAAATAAGATTACATAAAACAAGGAGACTAACACAGGTGAATTAACCAATACAACATCCAAACCTTCCTGAAGGAAGAAAATGAGAGGTATGGGATATACAAAAAACAGGGCAAAAATATCATATTTTTTCCTGATCCAATATGAAGGTGAGCCCCTGAACACCTAAAGTCTGGGACAATATTTTCACAAGCCCGTTTGATACACTTGCAAACACTTCCTAAGTGTTTTTTACTTTTAACAAAATATGCTCCAGACCATGTAGGCCATTGCTGATTGACATCTTAGACTATAACTAAAAGAATGGTAACCAGCATATTCTGTGTTCTGCCTTTGTGTCATATATTGGAAGCCTGGAAGAAAAGGGCCAAGCTTTCAGCTCAGTTGGCCATTGTTCTCTTCCCAACTCAGAAGAGACCTCTGGGACAGGCACTAGGACTGCCCAATCTTTCCTACCTCTGATTCCAACCTTCACAGGAAGGGGATAAGAAATGCTAAAAGTGGCCTACCGCATTAGCATGGGTAAGACACCAGTTTCTGTAGCTACACAAAGGTGCAAATATGGATAGTATCTTATACGGCTACCTTTGACTCCTTGGCCCAAATGACTAGAAACCATTTGCAGGGCTGCTGACTCAAGTTGGTCATTGACATGTAGAGCAGGTCTTGAATTTGCCTCTATGGAGCCACAGCAAAATAACCTGAACTCTGCCATGGATAAGGAATATTCAGTTATTCATTTCTTAATTCTTTATACAGGAGGAGAGGAAGGATATATTACTGCTGTTGGAACTGCACTTCCCTTTGGAAAAAATAAAATGTGTTATTGCCACATACAGGGGGTGAAGATAAAGAAGACTTACGTCTCCTCTACATGTTCAGGTAAAGGTACAATGGGATCTAATGGGCAATCCACATAATCATATCTCCTGCCATGCTACAGCTGGGAACCCACAGCTGATGGGGCCTGCTATACATGCAATTAAAACTGTATAGCCACAGAAGAGGGCCTGCTACACTTGCAAATTAAAACTGTATAGCAATCAGCCATAAAGTGAACACACATTTTTGAGGTCTAATTTTATAGCTGGTTGGAGCTTTTTATCATATGATAGTTACTTTGCACATGTAGCTAGTCTCAAGGTAATTGTATAATTAAACAGTTAATTGCATGATACCTGCAATGTGTAAAGGGTGGCCTGGAAAGGGTGACCTATTGATTTTTCTGTATCTTCCAAGTATGTCAAAAACAGTTTTTGACCTACCATCAGGACTAATCTTAATTGTCATGAGAATGATGCATCTGGAATCCTAAATACGGGGTCTATGCTTATCTCTGAATATTAAAAACTAGGGATATGCAAAGCTTTGGCCCCTAATTCGATTCGGTGGAGATTTGTCCTGATTTGGTGACTGAATCTCCAAGTCTGAATCCAGTCAGGAGACGCTTTAATCTCTTTGAATCGAATCAGAACCCTCCGAATCGATTTGAAGAGATTAAAAATGATTCAGCAATATGGATACAGACACACCTTTAAATGTTCTTTTTACATTCCTCAAGATACCAGCCGGCTTGTGAAAACTAAGATGGTGGGGCAGATGCAGCATCCCACAGGAGTGCGGGGACAGGGGGTGGTCCCCAGGGTGCTTGGTAGCAAACCCAGAAGTGGACCAGAAGCTCTTCTGGTCTACTTCCAGGTCTGGTGAGGAGTGCACTGCCCCCCCACCCACACACCCCTGCAGCTCAGTAACTGGTGCCTCCTGGGTCTGGGGTCACCTGGGATCCCCCCGGTTGCCGAGCCATGGGGGACATGGAGGGTGCCTTGCATGCTCCATGGCAGACCTGGAAGTCAACCAGAAGTATGAGCCCCAGCATCAGTGTTCATGAGCTGCACCTGGTACCTCAAGGTAGTGGAAAAAACATTTAAAGCTGTGTCTATGACTCAAATGCTGATTCTCCGACTAAGCATTGAATCTTTAGATTCAGATTCAGCCAAATCAAATCAGGGACAGTGATCTGAATCAATTAATCAAATCATTGTCCCTGATTCAGGCTAAATCCAAATCCAAATCGAACATGGCCCATTTCGTACACCCCTATTAAAAACTCTGTATTCCACAATCAAAATCCAAGGACAAATATATTTATATCCTCATTATTTTGCATTTTTAATTCTAGTTTTATGTAAAACTATGATATCCATTTTTCACACTTCACAATGTTTTGAGCATTGAATTCACTTTCCATTATATTCCCTCTGGCAGTTTACCAGGGCAAGAGCAAAAGACATTATCTCAATTAATAAGATGTCAAAAATCATATCTGCAATTTCAACTGATGAAATCAAAGCTTTGCTCAAGGCCTGAATTTGTGTTCCTATCCATATACTGACTCATTAAAGTAAGAGATGAAACATGCTGCCCATTACAAAAATACAATGCCTATAAGTTGATCTCTTAGTTTAAAAATACTTATTTAAATACTAGTCAGAAACACTAGGGTACGTAGGGATATGTAGATATGCAAGATATGTACATATGCAAGATATGTAGGGATTTTGGCTGTACAAGCACAACTGAAATGTGATCAAATTTTTTTTTGACTTTATCTTCTTATGTTCTTGTGAAAGATCTAAAGTGTTCCAGTTCCACTAGTCCCTGTTTACATTCTAGGATAATGTAAGATAAGCTGCAAAAATTGCCTGCTTAAAATGTAGCTTCTTAAGGGTATGTAAATCTCTAGAAAAATATAGGAGCATAAGAATTACTTTATCTTGTCTAATATCCTGTCTCAGTGGAAAGCAACTAACTTGTTTAACAAACGTAATAAATGTTACAGTATGTGATACAAATAGGAAATACTGGCTTACATAAGGGATAGTGCCATTGCTTTGTGTATTAAGATAGTAATTGGAAAATCATGTGTAATAGACATTAATATAGTCTTGGGAAATGAGGCAGAAGCACTCTACCTTAAAACCATTCATTTTTCCATTAAAATTCCTGGATCACAATACTCTCATGCACAAAGCACTAGAAAGGGGTAAGTCATCTATGATGCACATGATCAATCATACAATATACCCCTGGGAAGACACTCTTTTTAGACTCTCTAGAGATCACTAGATCTCACAGAATGACAACTTGATAGACCTTGAAAATTTTAACTCAGCTAGCCTAATGGAAAATGTCGGACCAAATTATTAGTTAACGGAATCTAGATTCAAGTGTACTCAACAGAGATGCATCAGGTTAAAGCACTTGAAGATATGGCCACTCTGCAAAGGTATTTTTTAAACACTAAACTATTATCCACAAAAATATCCAGTGACAATGAATTACAGAAGTCAGGTACACCCTTAAACAAAGTATATTCATTCAATCTCCTGAACTCACATTGATATTTCTGGCTTGGTCTTGCAAGCAAATATTTATAAGCACATGGTATTTTTCTCAGTGGGATTCTGTGTCATCTCCACAGTGTGACCCTTATAACTTCACTGAGTTTCTTACCATCAATCACTGCAACTCATAGACTTTGACCTCTTTCTTCTATACAAAGTAATGTCCCTAGTGTGGGTCTGAATGTAATAAACAATGCACATAACTGTCATCAATATCTTAAGTGTTATATTCTGTGACCTAGCCTAAGTCTGAAAGTGAAATGCACTTTTACCCAATTTGGTTTGAAACCAATGATTTTGCTCTCCATTGGACTAGCAACTTTGGGCAATCTACCGAGGAAAAGAAAAAAGACCCATTGTATTTTCGCAGGTAAGTCCTCTGATAATTACATAAACGTCTCAAATATTTCTACTGAAGTACTTATTTTTGTTTCTCAAACTATTTGTTTTAAAGCTGAAGTGATAGTTATGAAATTTTAAATTAACGCTGTCATTACATTTAACACTCTTGAGCTACATCTAATGAAGTTAAAGTTAAGATTTTTGCAATATCAAAGGGTGATATTACATATTACACTGAGGCCATAGCAATACTGTGGGATATGAAGCTCTTTTAATGGTACAACATGTTGCAAGCAGTTTCATGTTAAGGATTAATACCATTGCTTACCTACACAGAAAAGAAAAAGAAAGAGAAAGAAGAGAAAAGAAAGACAAGAAGAATAAAAAAGAAAAAAGCCAACATTTGGGAGTAGAAGGGGCATATGATGAAAACTAAGGAGGATATAATAGAGAAATGTTGGGTTCTCAAGTGAGGCTGGTGAAAGTTAGTCTTTTTTTCCTGATTTTTCCTCTTCTATTGCAGGTCAGTTACAAAGACATTATGACAGATAGTCACTGACCCCAATGTCTTGCTTTCCTGTTAATGCTACTTAACAAGAACCACCAGAAATTGAGAGAGAGACTTAATTTACACACCTGTGATGGTGATGTCTAAGACACATGTCATGGTAGATGATCCTGACAGATAAAGTATGGTTCTGCCTTTTATTTGATGCCTATCAGTAAAGTGGCACAGTATAATAAATTGTCATGCGGCTTCTTTTGCAGACTGAAGTCAAGGGATGGAAAAGGGAAGAAGAATGAGCGAACAAATGGAGAAAAGAGGAGAGAAAAAGAGAACAAATAAATGAAAGGATGCTATGGAGAAGACTGGGTTTTCAATGGAAAGAAAAGAGAATGAGAGATATAGTGCAGCAACTAGATTCTGCTCTCATTTGTGAGGGAATGAGTGGGTTTTGACTGATTTATGCTTGTATAACTGACAGCCCAATTTGGCCCCACAGTCCTTATCAGTGACAAGCAGAAATGAACCATAAACTCATAGATGGAAAAGACCTATTTGGCCATCCCGTTATCTTCCTGACATTGCAGGACTGCTTCCTATATAGTACAAGCGTTTTGTCAGGTCTAATTCAAAAGTCACAAGGAATGGAGCTTTCCACCTTTCTTTTGGGGAACTTTCTACAGCCTAGTGTCATCATCAGGATCCTCCTTCATGCCTTCCTGCATTGCTATTCATCTGAAGTATTTTATTCTTAGGTTCCTATTGTTATAGGTTCCTAATATCACTATCTAAATGTTGAAATGATATTGCCATATGCAATTTTTAAATGTTTAACTCTTGCATCATAAGTCATTTTTTAACTTACATGCCTTGCTTATTCTCTAAACTCACTCTTACCTTACCAAAAGCAATGAAGCAAACAGATGTAGTCACAATATTTTGAAAACAAATGGATACCACAGAGGGATGACCATTATCTCCATTGTCCACTGTGTTTTTCTCTGAATATCAAAACTAAAACTATAGTAGTCTATTTCTTCCCATTCAGCCCTAGATTGAAAATTCACATTTTTCAAAACTAAATCTGATGTCCACCGTTACTTCTGCAGCTGTTAAAAGTGCTCTGCATGTGAACCACATGCTCAGGTACTGCATGCTAGCATCTGAGATGCAGGTGACGTCACAGTGTATTCAGTCTCAGTAAAAATTGATGTTTTAATAACAACAGTGCAAGTTTCAATAACATTGTTTCTCAATTTTTCCCCCGCCTACTAAAGATCTGCACTCTGGAATATTTCCCCTGAGATGCCTCATTTTCGTATTTTTCCAAGCTAAAATACCTTTGTTATTCCCTAACCATATTTTTCTAGCCTTGCATTTCTTAGTCAACTGCTGATTATCACCTCCTCCAATTTAATATCATCCAGACAATATTCTTTTTCTGAGGGGCTGTTAATACTGTGAGCTAAATCATTAATGAAGTTAACATCAAACTGAACCTAAAATAGAAACCTACAGTACTTCATTAGACACTTTCTTGCCAGGATGATATTTTGTCATTTGTCATTTCATTTACCTTCTTTCTGTCAGTTTTCAAGCCACACAACAATGTTGAAGTTGAATAT